TAGAGTGTGGGTTACCTGCACTATGTACAGGCAGGGGCAGTGCTGTAGAGTGTGGGGTACCTGCACTGTGTACACACAGTACTGTAGAGTGTGGGGTACCTGCACTGTGTACACACAGTACTGTAGAGTGTGGGGTACCTGCACTATGTACAGACAGGGACAGTGCTGTAGAGTGTGGGGTACCTGCACTGCGTACACACAGTACTGTAGAGAGTGGGGTACCTGCACTATGTACAGACAGGGGCAGTACTGGGCTCCCCCTCCAATGCTGATCCCAATCAGGTTCTGAGAGTCCTTCTTCAGGGTGACTGTGCCCGGGACGGTGGGGATCCCCCTGTGGGAACAACAGATATTGACGACCCCCCCTTCAGAGCTGTCAGGGAGGCTGCTGTAGGCCTGCTTCCCAGCATCAGGGCCAGTGAGCAGCAGCCTGGGGCCCAGTCTGAGCCAAGGAGGCAGAATGTGTTGAACAGCGCTGTTTATTTTTCTCGAAATATTAACGCAGCCACAGCAAAGCACGTGACCATCTGCAATGAAGCCGTGCCTAGATAACGAGAATGATATCTCACAAGAGTTTCTACAGTTCTTTTGGTTCATGTCCTCCTGCAGGGAGATTTCTAGGGGTTACATATCAGCAAAATAAGCAGTGTCTCAAATTAAGGAAATTATTTCCAATTCACTAACAGCAAATGGAGACCAGGGCAATGACAAAATATGCATTTATAGTACTAGAAAGTAAAAAAAGTAATGAGAATGAGCAGATTTTTTGTACTACAATAAAATGTCCTCCATTGTTTAGCAGAACTTCCAGATGACTTTTTGCTGGAATCGAGTATATGCAAATTTAAGGCAAAACTGGTAACACGTCATGCCTCCTCCGGAGCGCTGGAATGACGAGCGCAGCTCTGTTCGCCGGTGTGCCTACATGCCAGGAGCAGATTCCAGACAGGAGGAGACATTCCTGCTCTGGAATGGGTCCGGGAGGGTGAGCACACGTGTTCCTGGGTGAGAAGCATCGTCCTGCACTGAGGGGCTGACGGAACCGATCCCCGCCAGCCGTGATCCGGACAAGCTGCCCAGTCAGGCTGCCGAAGCCTTGTTACATATCCTTGTTTCTCAGGGGAAACAGACGGACAAGATCTTTGGATCAATAACTTGCAAATGAGCTAACAACCTAGGAAATAGAGCTTCACCCAGGCCTCAGGTTCTGTCTGGCACTGTAACACCTGAGAGACAGGTGTGCTGAGGGGCTCGTGAGGCAGCTTCAGCCTACATTTCAACCAAACGGCAACGTCCTGTTTCAAACCAGAAAGTGCCAAATGCAACTGTTTCAGGTCTCCTTCCACCCTGTTCATCTGAGCAGGGGACAGGACAGTCAACAGAACCGGGACCAGAGTCTCCCAGGACCAGCGAGAGGTCCTGACCAGAGTCTCCCAGGACCCGCGAGAGGTCCTGACCAGAGTCTCCCAG